AAAAAAAAAAAGAATATCTGACTTTTCTCTCCTTTGCACAAACATCTCCCATGGCTCCCCATTGCCCTCCTATGTTAGTCATGAATCTCCCTTCAAAGAAGAACTTGCTGTCCAGCTGCAAGGAGTGCAGTTGGCTGACAGCTTCCACTTATAGGGTCCCTGGGCTCCATGGCAGCATTCAAGCCAAGCCCATGCTTTCTTAGGCAGCTCCCAGCCAATGATAGGGCAGGGTGGGCCCCCACTTCCTGACCATTTCTGCCCAATGTAAGACTCCCTGGCAGCATCCCTGCCCACTTTTATCTTTTATCCAATATTGGCTTGAACTGACACCTTTAGAAGGTCTTCATATGGTTTTCAAAGCATTCGCAGAAGGACTTCCATTACCAGCTCTAGCTTCGCTGGGACCCCTCTGATTCTTTACACTGTAAATTTCATGAAGATCCAGCCAACTTTTACCTCCTCCCAAACATGCCAGGCTCACTCCTCCATGCCTCCATCCTGGCCTTTGCACAAGGTATCCCCAAGGCCTGGAGCACTGTCCACTACCCAAAACCAGAGTGGTGAATTCATATTTGCTGCTTCACTACCCAGCCTCACCCACCTTCCTTCCTAACTGCCCCAGCCTTGCCCAGGTAAGACTCGAATGGGACTGGACGTGGAGTTGGGAGAGGGCAAGCAGTGTGGACACGTTTACTGAACAAAGAGATGGGTAATTTTTCACCCCCAAAAACCTCTTGTGACTCCCTGCAATAGATTTTTAGGTGGGAATTAGATATAAGAGCAAAAATTAAAGGGAGTAAGGATCTTTGGGGAAAGCGTGCAATTTCAGACAGAAAAGCAAGGGTGGGGAGAAGTTCATTTACTGAACACATGCTGGATGGCATCTGTTCTAAACACATTGTCACAGTTCACCAAGCAGCCCTGTAGAAGAGATTCCCTGCCCCACCCCCATTTACAGAGGAGAAAAGTGGTATTCAGAAAAGGGAACTGATTTTATTAAAGTCACATAGCAAGTAAGCAGGGCAATAAATATGGACACTCAGATCTTTCTGTTGCATAAGCCTGCAAGCTTTCCCTGCTCTCCAGGCTGTCTGCCAGCCTGCCTCTAGGTTCTGCTCCTATTCCCAGGAAACAATAATGACAGAATTAACAAAAAGTTATTTCCTCTCCCCAGCTTGGGAGCAGAGCCAATGAGGGGTTCAGGAACAAACCATGATGACCTGCACTCACCATTCAATCTCTTGAGGCTCACGGTCCCTCAGGAGCTCTTGCACCTCCTGCCGACAGCGTTCCTGGTATTCTGGGTGCTTTGCAAGGTTGTACAAGACCCAGGAGAGGCCACTGGCTGTGGTGTCATGGCCTGAGAGGCAGCCAGACAGGCTTGCATCTCTGGGCTTGTTCAGCACCAGAGGGTGGACAGCGCCTTTACTTAAGGCCCTCAAGGGTGGATGGGGAGCATGGGGTGGGATGGGGTGGTCCAGGGCCTACCTACCAAGTTCCTGGGATTGGACATACCCCTGCCCACCCCCATAGTCCCACACTGGGATGCTCACCCTCAAACATGAAGGTATCAGCCTCAGCTCGGATGTTCTCATCTGACAATTGTTTTCCATCTTCATCCTGGAGAAAGGGCAAGACCTCCTGAATCACACCAGCTCTGAGGGTGTCTAAGTCTAATCTGAAACAGTCCCTCAGGCTCCATCAACAAAGCAGGATCTGTCCCCTCATCATCTCTAGAGCCCACCCCACAGGTCTCCTCCCTGGTCTTCAGCCTTTTATGTATCCCTTTCAGGCAGCCTTCTACAGAGTCATGTCTAAAACATATCCCTGACCCATCTCTCCCTTCCTCAAGCACCTCCCATGGTTGCCCAGTACCCTGCGGGTCGAGTCCAAGTTCTTCCATGTGACATTTGAAGTCAAGGTCCATTCTATCTCTTAAATTCTGATCCCAGGGAAGCCCACCTTGGCCAGCAGGAGCACATCAATGAAGTCCAAAGTCTTGGCCTTAGCCTTGGCCTTGAGGAAGTCATGGGAACCCCCACTAATGAGGGCACGGCGCCGCTCCTGGATGACAGCATCTGTGAAGTTGTGCACCAGGTTGCAGGCCCTGTGGAAGCGCCACCCATTGGGGGTGAGATTGTACAGGAAGTCCATGTGCAGGAAGATCTGCTCCTGCCATTTCACCACAAGGGCACTGAGCTCCAAGATGGCAGCAATATATTCACTGGGACTCCTGCAGGGCCAGGCCAGAGAGAACCTTAAGAAACAGCTTCTTAACCCACATGAAACCCTAAGAGCACCTTCCAACCAGAAACCCAGAAGCACTGTGGCACATGCTTTGCTCATCATAGCCCCCTGGACTTTATTCACAACAGAGTGTTCTCCAGGCATGCTTCTCCCTCTACATCCCACCTTTATGAATAGCCTCATGTCCCAGACCCCAGGGCAGAGCTTGGGCATCATGCTCGTCTCCTCTCTTTCCTACACAATATCTGACCCTGCCCATTCTTTCTTAGTTTCTCCCAAATCTGCCCCATTTTCTCCAACAAATTCAAGCCTTCTCCTCTCCATGGTCTCCCTGAATTCTGTGTCTATATGACAGCTGGTCTTCTTTAGAGTCAGATGTCCAAAAACAGCTTTGACCATGACCCTCATCTATTCAAACACCTTCCATGCCTCCCTGGAAACCTCAGGATAAAGTTCATATGCCTTTGTCTGGATTTTGAATGTCCTTAAGATAAAGCCCCTGCCAAGCCCTCCAACCTCATTCCCAAGGTGGCTCCTCACTGCAGCACATGCTTTGCTCATTGTGGCCCCCTGGCCTTTATCAAACATTTCTGCCTACCTGAAAGAATCACTCTTTCTCTTTCCCTTCCTTGTCTTTCAATGTCTAGCTCTGATCCATCTCCTCCAGGAAGTCCCCTCTGATTGTGCTGACCAGTCCTCCGTTCCCCATCTACTCCCTTGGGTCTATGGCTCATGTTCACATGCCCAGGGCAGAGACTCACTCCTGGCAATTGCTGTCAAAACTGAAGACACATTTTTGCAGACTGTCCAGGGTCATGAGGCTGATGTGCTCAAACATGTCTAGATGGGTGCTGCCTTCCAAGGCCAGGCACTGCCACTTGGCCTGGACAAAGAAAGGGGCAAATCCGGGGTTGGGACCTGCTTCCCCTGAGCTCCTCCTCAGCCCCAACCACCAAGATGGACTCCCCCAGACCCAACCTCCTGATCCTCCACCCCAGGTACCCATCTCCAGGAAGGACCAGGCTTGGGTGGGAGTAGAAACTGTTACTATTAAGAACCCATTTAAAAAAAAAAAAAAGACCCCATGGTTAGGAGTCAGGAGACCTGAGTTCAAATCCTGGCTCTACCTCCTATACTCTGTGTGCTCTTGGTCAACTCATTGTCTTCCTCCTGTCAAAGCTCATTGGGATCTACCTGTCAAAGCTTCAGTAAGAGTTAAGATGACCTGCTTTGGTGTCAGACCAAATCAGGTTGGAATCCCAGCTCCACTTATTAGCTCACTTGCCAGCTGAACATGGGCAAGCTCTCTAACCTCTCTCAGCCTCAATTTCATCACCTGTAATGAGGCAATAATAATCATCTCTACCTCATATGGTTGTGAAAATTAAATTAGACAACATATGCAATAGAACTGGTGCATTATTTCTGGTAAACAGCAAGTGCTGAATAACTGTTAGCTATCATCCTCATCTTCATCATTATCATAGTGGTAGATAACTGATGCAAAAATGTCCCCATTCCTTTGTCCCTCCCTATACCTTCACCCTTTGCAATGAGGTTTTGCAGGTCTTCCATTAGGAGGTAGAACCTCTTTCTCCAGCTCTTGAGCTGGATGTGGGACTTGTTTGGCCAACAGAAGAAGGTGGAGGTCATAGTTGCCTGTTCTGAAATTAGGATTCAAGAGGTACTGCATGTTTCTCTTCTTTCTCTTGGAGCCTCCACCATGTGATCAAGCTCAGGCTAGCCTACTGGAGGATGAGGGACAAATGCAGGAATCCAGTTGTTCCACCAAAGCCATCCTCGACCAGTGCCCCAAACGTGCCACAGAGCTGAGCTTGGACGAGCAGAGCTGTCTCCCAAACCCACCCATGACCACAGACATGTGAGTGATTCCAGCCAGGATAAGAACTACTCTACTGACTCATCATCTTGGGAGCAACAACAAACACTCATTCTTTCAAACCAGTGAATTTTAAGGTGGAATGCTATGCAGAAAGAGCTATTATACAATCTTCATCATTAGTGTCTTGAATTTTACAGAGTTTCGGTGAGGCAGACTAGAAACTAAAACCTTCTGAGCACCTACTATGTGCCAGGATCATGATTCCATTACATCATCTTGACCACCCTTTAAGAAGGGCTTATCCCCCTCCCATTTTACAGATGGGGAAACTGAGGCTTAAACAGGAAAAGGAATGGCCCTAAAGCCATCCAGCCAAACCAGGACTCCAGATCATATGTGTCTGAGGCTACTCCCCTTTTCCCAAAGCTCCAGCTGGGACCCTGGATTTAAGGAACTCACATGCATGATGCCTGCGCTTTTGTTGAAAATCTTCACATAGGGTTTCAAGATTTCAAAATGGAAGGCAGGTGTCAGCAAGCAGCAGTGGTGGCTCCACTTGTCACCAGCACTCAGCAGGAGCCCATCCCCTAGTAGAGGCAGTCACAAGGAATGGACAAGGGCAGTGCCTTCCCCGGAGACCCCAAGGTTGTCCCCAACCCCCTTCACCCACAGTTACTCACCCAGCCAGGGCTTCAGGAGGTTGTAGAAAAACATATCCTTGGGTATGATGGTGGCTGACACAAGAGATAGACCATCAGGGGCCATGGAGAAGAGGTGGGGAGGGGCTTTTTGTTGGGAGGTGAAGGATCCCAATCAGGGTTCTGCATACCCCCTTTAAGCCCAGCATAGCAGGAATGGGAACAAGGGCAGAGAAAACAGAGAGGAGTGGGTAGATGACGGGGGACCAGACCAGGCTGCAGCACAGAGCGGAGCAAAGGCAGAGCCTGCAGACACACTTAGATGTACTTAGATGCACCCTAACATGACACAACACACCCCAACACACCTTGACATGGCTCCTACCTGGTCTAACACATTCAAAACACCCGAACACAAATCAGCACTCTACAAAATGCCTTTACAGGGACCTAGGACACCTCATCTGTCCCAGAGCCCCCTGACATTTCCTGCAACAGTTGACATGGCCACACCATGTGTTGGGGCTATGTCCTGACATGTCCTGACATGAAACAACATGCATAACACACATTGACAGGACACAACATGCTCTGACATGGACCCAAAGACAATCTGACACGACCTCAGTGTGTCCTACAGATGGTCCCAGACAGGACTTAAAGGTCCCATTAATGTCCCAGACATGGCCCAGGAGTGACTTAGCCTTCCTCAGTATCCCCTTCCACCCCATACTGGCCATTAAGTACTTAGGTAAGGGGTTCCTATGCCCTTAAAGAGACCAAAGGATGCTGCCACCCTCAGATGCTGAGCCCCATCCACCACAAAGAGCTGCCACTGCTCCCTTGTGCCTCTAGACCAGCCCCCCAGGGCCAACCAGACACAGTTGACCAACCTGAGGTCTGGTAGATCTTCCCCCACAATACTCTGGCCATCTTCACACCCCAAATCCCTTTCCAGCTTAGGGTCCCTCCCAGCAGAGGCAGCTAGAGCAGCCAAGAACACACAGAAGAGGGAAGCTTCAGCATACTATGTGGCCTTCAGAACTTATTATGCCCCCTGAGCCTTGGTTTCCTCACCCAGGAAATGCCAACCTAGCAGGGATGCTGGTGGATGGACATCTGTGGTATCTACTTGCCCAGCATTCATCCCCTTCTGGAACTAGCATCTTGTTCCTCCTCCACTCTCAATCCAAGTAGTTAGGAGAGTGGCCATGCCACCCCATCCTCTGTTCCAGAGCTGAGCATATGACCCTAAGCCTCAGCAATCAAGTCTCAGTGACTAGAGGAAGAATTGGTCCCTGTGACCCAGGCCAGGCCAATGTAAAGGAATCCTGCAACTTTTTCTGGGTCTGCAGAGAATGAGCTCACATTTCCATGGGAGCTGAGTTTCTTGGACTCATCTTTATCAGCATGAGAGTGAAGCTGTCAGAGAGGAACAGAGCTACAAGATGAAGACAGATTCCCAATGGCACTCTTTGAAGACCTGGATCCAAACATGTCAACCATGCCTGAAGACAACATTCTTTCAATTTTTCAGTCAACAGATTCACTTTCTTTACTTAGACCAACAGTGTTGAACTTCCACCACTCAAAACTGAAAGGGACTGGCAACCAGAGAGAGCCAGGGACCTGCCCAGAGTCATCCAGCAGGTTAATGGCAGGTCTCCGTCAACATTGCCCATTTCCCTGCTCAACCTGGTCTGTCCAGGAGTGGGAAGGACTGGGAGCAGGGGCAGGGGAGTGGCTAGGTTGGGGCTCCTGGGAGAGATACCTGGTGCCTGGAGCAGGGGAGCAACAAAGGTAGGGTGGACGAGTCACAGTACAGGGTAGAAGGGCCCGATCCACCAGAGGTGAACATCACGGAAGTGGTGGCCCAGATCCTCTATCATCCGCAAGCCTTCCTCAATGCTCTTCACCTGTGGATGGCAGGGCCGGGAAAGGATGGGTGGGGGGATGAGGCCAGGTCAAACAGGAGAACCAAGAAGCTCACAACTGCCCACTGCAACCCTCCACCCACCACACCCCTTCCCCCACTTCCCCCTTCTGCCCGCATTATTAGTCTATACTTCTATATCTCATTAAGTCAGCTTCCTTCTGTTGGTCTGTTGGTCTTTCAGGTGTCTATCTATCTATAAGTCTCTCCCTGTCCCCTCACTCTCTTCATCTGTTTCTTTAGGTAGTTGATAGATAGCTAGACGATGATAGCTTAGCTAGCTAGCTAGCTAGCTAGCTAGATGGATAGATAGATGATAGGCAGATAGATAATGGATGAATGGAAAATGGATGGATGGATGGATGGCTGGATGGGTGGATGGATGGATGGATGGATGGGTGGATGGATGGATGGATGGATGGGTGGATGGGTGGACAGATGGATGGGTGGATGGCTGGATGAGTGGATGGATGGATGGATGGATGGATGGATGGATGGATGGATGGATCGATGGATAAAGGACAGATGGAGAGAAATGAGAGATGGATGGATTGATGATAGACAGATGATACGTGTTTGCATCTGTTTATGTGTATGTTTCTTTTACACTCTCTGTATGGCCTCTCTCTCCCTCACTTTTTCTCTGTATCTCCCTCTTTCTTCAGCCCTATTTCTCTCTCCATCTCTCCTACTCCCTGAGTCTGTGCCTCCTCACCTCCACACCCTCCATGGCTCCTCAGAGCCCTCAGAATAAATCCCCTGGCCCTGCTGGCTCTGCTGTCCCCTCCACCTTTTCCCCTGCCTCTCATCAACATTGCTCTCACTGCACTGAACTCCTTGTTGCTCAAAAACCAGGTGCTCACTCTGTCCCCTCTAGGCCTTTGAGTGGGCTCTTCCTCTCCACAGCATATACTTTATCTTTTTTTCTTAAAAAAAAAAATTCCTACCCATCATTCCAAACCCACTTCAAACGACTCCTCCTCCAAGAAGTCTTCCAGCCTGCCCTAACAGCAGAGGCCTTGCTTCCCCCTGGGTTCCCCCAGCCCCTATCTCTCCCTCAGACCCACTCTGACCACACAGAATTGGGGTTGTCTCTAGTTCTACATGCCCAAGATTGGGGTTCCTCCAGGACAGAGCCTGGGGCTGAGTCTCTCTAAGCATCCTGAAGCAGTGTGCAGAAAGAAAGAAATGACCAAGGGCACCCGAGAGCAGGAAGGGCCTTGGGATCTACAGAAGCTTGGTAAGGAGGGGCTTGCGGCCCCCAGATGCTACTACAGGGCCCACCACCATGTATTCCAGGTGGGTACCTGTGGCATGGGGACAGATCAGGCAATATCAGGATTGCAAAAAATAGTGAGAGCCCATGCAGAACATAAATCCCTGGGGGTAGGTGGCCACCAGCTGAGTTATGACCCTTAAGCCCTGCTCCAGGGGGCAGGGGGCCTACAAGCAAGAAAGGGGCCGTGACCTCCCCAGAAGGAACCACGGCAGATCCCCTGCAGCCTCTATAGTGCACAGGGTGTCCAGATTCTGCATGGATGGAGGGAATCTCTGCTTCCTCCTGCTCCTTCCCTCTGGGGACAGGAGGGTCCTGGAGGCCTCTCCACGTCCCAAGGGTACATCCCAGGTCACAGGGAGAAGACAAGCTCTTTGCCCACAGAGAGGCCGACCTTGGCTTGAGAAGTCAGATTTTTCTTTTTTTTTTTTTTAAAGATTTTATTTATTTATTTGACAGAGAGAGACACAGCGAGAGAGGGAACACAAGCAGGGGGAGTGGGAGAGGGAGAAGCAGGCTTCCTGCGGAGCAGAAGCCCGATGCGGGGCTCGATCCCAGGACCCTGGGATCATGACCTGAGCCGAAGGCAGACACTTAACAACTGAGCCACCCAGGCGCCCCGAGAAGTCAGATTTTTCTTCTCCTGGGAGTGGTTCCAAACTCAGTGAGCTCCCCATGGGGGAGGTTTGTGGTCAGCAGGGTGGTCTCAGGACTTCTACTGGGGCTCATTCCCACACCCTGTCATGTCTTGGCCAGTGTACATAGCCCCCAGTTCCTCACATGGTGAAGGGTCTGCAGACCTTCCAGCCCTGGCAGACCCCAGGGGACAGATGTGAACTCTGCTCATCAGTCAAGAGGGCAGCTCCCACCTATGAGCCCCTACTGCCTGCCAGGCTGTGCATAGAACATCCTGTCTGTCTATCTGTCTATCTATCTATCATCTATCTATCTATCTATCATCTATCTATCTCTTTCTACCTATCTCCCCTGCACCTATGGACTCTCCCATCAGTCATGCCATTTACAAATGAAGAAACCAAGGCCACGTGCCCCAAAAGGAGAAATGGGGGCATGGTTAGCTCCTGGGGACGCATCCTCTCCAGTCCCTCTCCATCCCTCCAGGATGCCCCATGCTGGCCTGACAAAAACTCCCAGGGGTTCCAGACAGGTGAACAGAAGGCGTTTTCACCTTTTTGACTGCCCCCTGATCCCCAAGGACCCTGAGACACTTGATGAGTTTGGCCCAGACAGGGAGAGTGACTCAGCTGAGGTCACACACACAGCGAGAGGGACTAGCAGAGAGAAGAGGACCCAGACCAGTTTCCATAGCCAAGCCCTTAGAGGGGTGCGTAGAACTGCAGTAACTTGATAACATTCCTGTTACTTCCAGGGCTTGATGAGAAATTTCCAAGACCTAAAATTTTAAGCAACCTTCAGGATGATCTTGGGACATCCTGTTCTGTAATGAGCTGGTCTGCAGGAGGGGAGGGGAGGAGCTGGATGCCCATCCCTTTGGCATTGGATGACTAAGAGAGTGATGGTAAGTTCACCCAAACCTAGGACATGGCCTCCACCATGACATCATCAAACATTTATTAAGGGCCAACTCTACGCAGCTCCTGAGCTGGGCATTATAGATATGTCCGTTCCCCAGTGCTATTGTCTAGTGGGAGAGAGAGATAATCCACTAATAATTGGACAAGCAACTGTTTAAGCTTAAGCAGGACCAAGTCAGAGGTCCAGGTCTAGTGGGGGAAGTCAAGGGAGGCTTGGAGAAGTTACACTTGAGCTTAAAAAATGGGATGAAAAGGAGGGATCAACCCAGTGGCTGCAGGAAGGGAAGCCCTTCCTGGCAAAGGAGCAGCACGAGCAAAGCCCCTGAGGTAGAAAGGGTTTGGCTCTTTGAGGAAAGAAGCAGGAGCTTGGGGTATCTAGGGTATGCAGTGGGCCTGACAACACTTAGTCTCTATGTTCAGAATGATGGGCAGTCTTATAGAATGGTTTTCAGCCAAATAGAGGTGTAAACAAAAGCTAAATTTCAGAAAAATGTCTCCAGGGCTCAAGAGAGAAAGGACGACAGGGGACAAGAGTGGCAATGAGGAGCCTGAGGAGTCGGAGAGAGGGCTTCCTGGAGAAAGATACCAGTGGATGTGGCAGGAGAAGTGGCAGGAGATTGCAGAGAAGGGACAGGTTGAGGAGAGGCTGTGAAAGCAGCATGTCTGGTCGTGCTGAAGGACCAGACTGCAGGAGAGAAAAGAGGGGGGTCAGGGGCCCCAAAGTGTGGGAAGTGGGCAAAGGAAGGGCGGACAAGACGGAGGGTGGGGCAGGACTGGGAAGGGAACCTGAGTTCGGATTTTGACTTGGTGGAATGAGGTGTTTAGGAGACCCCACCTGAGGAGGGGAGGCTGGGACTTGAACTTGTGGAAGAAGTCCATGTGGCCCACTGAGGGAGTCAGATCCTGGGGTAAGGTGATGGCCTTGGGAGCCAGAGAAGAGGGAAGGAGGGTTAGAACCCTGAGGGCTCCCCACATGGAGAGGTGGGGTGAAGGAGGAGCCCAGTGGAGCCCAGTGGAGGGCGGTGTGCTAGAATGCTAAAACCCGGAGAACAAGGAGGTTCAGGACCAGTCAGCAGTCAGCAAAGCCAGATTGCTTCTGGGTGGGGATGAGGTCCTGGTCATCTCGTGGAAGCACGACGGGAGTGGGAACCAGGCTGCAGCAGGTGAAGATTGGCCAAATGGGGGCAATAAATGAAATGTTTGGCCATTAAGGTCAAGGCCAGAGTGATTCCTTCTGAAAGGGGAAGTGGTCAACTTTTATCCAAGTTGAGCAATGGGGCCCATTGATATACCTTGGGGATGGAAGGCAAGATTACGTAAGGAGGAAGGGGAGGAAATGGACAGACAGCCCACACCTCTCCTCCAGCCCAGCTGTGCCCCCATGGGGGGAGGGGAGGGCAGAAGTCATAGTTGATTCCTGTGGGGAAGCCAAAGCCCAGACAGGAGCACCTGCTGGCCTGAGGCCAACAAAAATGGGCCAGGCAGGGAGTGAACCCTAGACAGTGGCCCTGGGGAGACTGTGGGGGCACCGGGGGACCCGTCTCATGCAGCCCTTCACTGCGTCCCAGACTCCAGCCCAACCCCTGATCCCCACTCCCGGCCCCTCAGGAAGTCCATCCACCCTGATACCCCAGACCATGTCCCACCCACACTCACCAGGCCCACGTGACCCCAAAACCAGCTCCGTTTTGGGGGCTGCGGGAAACACCGGAGGCGGCAGCAGATGTCATGCAAGCGGTGGCTCCAGGCCAGGACGCGGGCCAGCAGCCAGGTGGCCCTGGCCAGCAACAGGAGCAGCCACGGGGAGGCAGCCAGCTGCCCCATGCCCAGCCAGGACAGGCTCCACTGTGACATCCTGGGGCACAGGGGACAGAGTGGGAGCTCCTGAGACCCAGCTGTGGGGCAGAAAGTGAGCTCCCTGGACTGCTCACAAAGAGGGGGGGCCCAGGATGGGAGGGACAGGGACAGGGAGGGGCAGGGAAGGTGAGTGCGGG